AGATAATAAATTACAGACAAGATTGTCAAACTTTGTAACAAACCGTTCGTAAAACTTCTGTATCTAGATAGGTGTCGTATCGACTACTATACTATCATATCAGCCCTAATATAGATATTTGAGATTGAGTAGCTTTTTAGAAACAAAATCCTGAGAAAACTTATTTTATGAGATCAAAACTGTTTTGACTAGGGTATATTTAAACAAATAAAAAAACAACTGTATGGCAATTTTATTAAAGTTGCACAGGATGGAATTAAGATGTTAATGCATTTGCTTTTGTTGTAAAAAGTACTACTTTTCAAAATTACACAGTTTAAATATACTTCCCAAACACAAGAAACTTAAATTCAATAACCAGATTTTTATGCAAAACAAGTTTTTTGTGTAAAGGCACTAAAACGTATGTATAATGAAAGTTAACAAAAAAAATGTAACTGAAAAATATGCATACACTTATTAGACCTAACTGCTTCGTAAGAAGGAAAGTTACTGAAATTAGTTAAGAAATCTGCATTTTTGTTTACAGTCTGTTCTGTCAGCACATAATGTTTAAAGTACAGTGTATCAGTATGATAAAAATGTGAAATCCAGGACTTAAGATTTAAAAATTTGAAAATTCAATGAGTAAAATTAAATAATAAAAACACTACAAAAACATGTATCAATAAAAGTTTTTGTTCTCAAACTAATTAATAAAACATCATTTAAATAACTAGATGAACAATGTGAATTTTTTTGGATGCATCTTGCAATGACACAATCATTATAGTGAAGTAGCAATATAACTCAGATAACTAACTAAACCAACAAACTTCTTAATATTATAACAAATAAGAAGCTATAATCAAAATAATAAATTATCTTGAATTATGACTTAATAATGGTATTGTTATAGCTTAATATCTGTAATTTAACTAGAATATTTTCTCTCACACGATAAAAACATTTCTATAAACTATATCATTTAAGCTACAAGTCTCTTGTAGGAATTTTTATTCATTTTAGAAAGAAAAACAGAAGGAAGATGATTATGAAAAAATGAGACAGAAAAATATTGCCGAAAAAATGGCCTTATTACAGTCACTGGATATCTTGAAGGTTTGTTTTTGATTATGAAAAGATGATTTATTAAAACTTATTGCTCTTTTGCTATATTTTGACTGTTGTTTAGTTGTTCAATGATATATTTAAATTTTTACATTTGAAATTTATAAATTATGCGACATCTAGGGCCTTTTGGCCCATTAAGGAGATCATGACTCCCAACCTCTCTCAGCAAACAGAAAACTAGTCACTAGGTACAAACCTAATTGCCCAAATATTCATCAATCCTTTTTCTAAAACTCCTGTAAAGTTACAGCTTCTAGATCTCACTGTATCACAATTTGTTACACAGATTTACCACTGCATTGAAGAAATTAAACTGCCTCAACTAGAGTTGTCTTTCATTTAAGAACATTAAATTTATGATTTCTTGTCTTACTGCCCTCAGAATTTAACACAAGATATTCAAATGCTTTATTCTTATTATTTCCCTTAAAACTAGCAATGGATTTGTGATGAGGAACCAAAGTCTAATAATGAAGATGAAGACAGGTGATAGAACATAAACCATTTTACTTACAAGGTTCTAATGTTTTGGAATAACTTATTCCATCTTCAGCAAAATCTGAAAATTGAGTTACAAAGATGATTATTAACTAGTTATACTATATATATATATATATATATATTGCACAACAGCTGAGTCAAGTGTGAAAATTTAGAACAGTTTAGATCTAAAGAGCTTTGTGAGTCATTAAGAGTCAGGTGGTCTTTAGCTTTGAGTAGGCTTTCCTTAATATAGAGTTCAAGGTCTGAAGATCCTGTGCTAATGATAGAGAAATCATTAAATGAAATATTGTGACCTGTGGTTTCAGAATGTAAATAAATGAATGAGTGGCTGGGTTTAAATAGTGGATGGTTTGCTCTGTTAGATACTCCTAAATGTTCACGGACTCTAGTTTTTCAATGGGAATTCAATGAAGGTTGGAATTTGTTATTTAGGAAATTGTGTGTAATTTTCTTAAAAAAATAGTCAGATAGCCATTATTTAACATGTGTTTATTTAGAAGTCTAATTTTTTCATGTAAAATAAAATAATTAAAATGAAGTTTAAAAATTATGTTTAACAATGATATAACCAGATTATGTTTGAAGGAGTTGGGGATAAAACTATTGAAATTCATGACTAGGTAGATGGAATTGCCATGGGATCCAAGCTGGGTCTGATGATAGCTGATAGTTTTCATGCATCATGAATGCAAGTGGCTAGAAAATTTTCCACATGAATTCACACCTGTCCTTTACAAATGCTGTTTAGACAATCAAGTCCCATTTCTAAGTTCCTTTCTTACTTTAATTCCTAACACCCCAATATCAAATTCACATCCTAACTTGAGGAAAATGATTCTTTACTATTTCTAAAACTTTTACTGGCATCTACACCAATTTCAATATTTTTCCCCCCCAACTTCTTCAAATGTAATCTGGTTATATCACTTTTAACCCTATCACCCCGGGTATCCTATACTGCACATGACACAAGGTTTTAGTGTCTTACACTCAGAATTTTATTAAACTACTTTTTGTTTGTTATACCAATTAGAATAGCATAAAATGTTGGCTAATAATCTATATTTTAATAGTATACAAGTTTTAAGCTCTTAATTCTACAAGGCAATATTTAAAAAAATCCTGAATTTCCACTAGTGTGACAAACGTGACACATTTTTTCTCAACATGTCACCATCTGTATTTTATCCACCATCTTTCGAAAAAGTACGAAATCAAACATAAAATGCTCTATGAAATCGTTATTGCTCAAACAGACCATAATTTTATAGCCTTCAATTTTATTTGGTTACAGAGCTATCAAATAGAAAATCAGACTCCTCCTGCCATACCCATTTGTCACATCCTCTCTTTCACAATTTATTGATAGTTCTCTCTTACATTTCGTTATATAATACCTATAACCAGTAGAAAGTCAAGGTTTTCATCTATCAAATGATGTATTGTATAACGTTGTGTTTTGAACAGAAGATCATCAGTTTCCTTCACAGTACAAGATTTGTTTCTGTGGGAAAGTTAATGAGTAGCTTGAATGAATTTGTAATGGTTCTTGTTGCATAGTTAAAAAGCCAGGAAACTTTTGAGAGGTAAGGGAATTTGTCTACTTTTTACATGTTATTAGTCTATATTCTTTGGTGCATTATATAACTAATTATAAATTATTAAGAGCATTACTATTTATAGTATAAAAAATTAGGGTTAACTCTCTTCGAAAACCCGAGTGGAAGAAGAAAAAAGATTGGGTAAGTACTTTATTTCTTGTTTTTCATATTTATTCTTTATTTATTATTAAGAAAATAACCTAAATCTAAAAACACGGATTTGTTTAAGCTATTTAAGACTAGATTAGGTAAAATAATTAATAGTATAAATAAAAATGGGTCACGTAATGTAATTCGATGGGGTAACATGAGTTGCACGATCCATGGTTGATTTACAACTTATAATGCCACTGACAATAGACACAGTTCAAAGGGCAATAAAACAATAGAATTTAATTATAAATAGATGTATTCTGTGATGAACTTAGAGCTACTTGGGATAAACAAATTAGTTTCATGATAAAATTTGAAATCATTCTAGAAATAAAAAAAGGGGGTAATTTAGGTTTATTCTGATTTTTTTTGGGGTGGTTATGAGGTCAGTCGAATTGACCGATCCAGTTTTGAGATATGGTAGAGAAAATAAGAGATAAACTACAAAGTTTTACTGAATAAAAATGTTCGAAATGCATTTGGAAGATTTTAGAGATAGAGCAAAGGAAATTTGAGATTTTTGAGATAAGGAAAAGTATTTATAATTTTGACACTGCACACGGATTATTCAAAACAAATACTCAATATATAAATGAACAAGTCTTTTTTTTTTTTAAATACTTTGCTAAAAAATATGAAACTGCCAAATTTTGTGAAGATATACACACTGTATTGAAAGTTAGAAGTATTATATCTATAAAGGACTTATATCAAGTACAAAAAGGTCACATGTAGTGACTGTAAGGTCATGTACATTGGCAACATGAAATGCCACTTAAAAACTAGAGTCTGTGAACATTTAGGAGTATCTAACAAAGCCATCCATCCACTACTTAAATGCAGCCACTCATCCATTTGTTCACATTCTGAAACCACAGGTCACAATATTTCTTTTAACGATTTCTCTATCATTACCACAGGATCTTCAGCCCTTGAACTCTACATTAAAGAAAGTTTACTCGTAGCTACAGACCACCTGACTCTTAAAGACTCAAAGCTCTTTAGATCTAAACTGTTCTAAATTTTCACACTTAACTCAGCTGTTGTGTAATATATGTGTGTGTGTGTGTGTGTATATATATTAATTGTTTTGTCCATCCATTTACTGCTTCTCTTAATAACTAAGTAAACTAATGATTATGTTATTATATTATAATTTTAGTTAATAATGATCTTTGTAACTCAATTTTCAGACTTTGCTGAAAATGGAATAAGTTATTCCGAAACCTTCACACCCTGTAAATAATATGTTTTATGTTTTATCAACCCTCTTCATCTTCATTATTAGAGTTCCCTTAATAATTTTGAATACTGCAATTACACCCTTTTTACCTTTTTCATGAGAGAAGAAGTTAAGATATCTCAACATGTGACAATCTATCTTTCAAAGAATCAGCCCTCCCCTGAAACCTCTCTAAAAACCCAATGTTTTACTTAATATAAGAGGATCAATGCCATTTTTACCTGGATAATGCTTATGTTCCACTTTAAATATTGGAGCCACTCTCAGTGAAAGCTGTCCATGACCTAATTTGGGGTGAGATGGAGTCTTTCATGCAACCTGGAGATATCTCTCTAGGAGGTGCTGATTTTAATTTTCATTCTGAAATGGGATATTCTGGGGAGTATTTAGACTCCCTGTTTCCTGCTCTTTTCACTAGAGCTTCCTCTCCTGAGGACTCATCTGATCAGCCACCTTCTGCAGTTTGTTACACGTGTTTGTGAAATTTTGGAGATGCAACCAGTTGCTTTTGAGTCTACCCCTGCTTTGTTGTCTGATCGTTCTCAAGGGGATTACTTAGTTTTTCCTTCTTCTCATGATATTGGTGTGTAAGTATGGAGGTTTGCGAGGTCGCAATTTTTGCGGATTCGTTTGACTCTCACTACTGTTTTAAGATACTTTTATTCCTATCAATTTTTGTCTGAAGCATATCATCGAACTCATGCCTCCTGTTCGTTATATCACCTTTCCCTCAAAGTTTGTTTTATTGATGTTAGATTCTGGACACTGTCATTCTGATTTATTTGCCATTCATGTTCAGCGTACTCTCTGTCATTCTATCTACATTTTGCTTTATTTTGACTGACCATTTATTCCAAAATCTCTTGCTGCTTGATAAGAAAATATATCTTTCTTCTATTCATTTACCTGGCATTTCTCATCTTTACAGTAGATCAGACCCAGTTCGTTTGTTATGTCCCGTCAGGGCGCTCAGATGTTATGTAGTTCATACGGAACCATTTCAAGGCCATAGGAACAGACTTTTTATTTATTGGGATCCTCCAGTGTCCAGGGATTTATCACCTGTTACTTTAACTAGATTGCTTCAGAAGTTCATCCATATTACCTATTCTGGCTTATCTGTTAATGATCACAATATGCTCCATGTCACCTCTCATCAGATTTGACACCTATCCATGTTTTTGGCTTCCCTGTTGAACTGTTCTCTAGAAGATATTTTGTGGGCCAGTATGTGGACTTCTGACAAATTCATATCTCATTACCTTCATGATCTGGAAGTTTCCTCTTTGAAAGGATTTTGTCTTCCCCCTGTGGCTTTGTTGACTACCTCTACTAGATTTTAACAGGGAGGCAAGTAACATGTTATCTGACTTACAGTTATTGTTCTTTTCTCTTCTAGGGTACCTGTTGATTTATTTTTATCCCACCCAGTGGTGAATATTGCCCAGTTGGTTATGCTTGTATTTAAATTCTGCATTAGCAACCTTTATATCGGTTCCTGGTTGCAATGGGCTCTTTTGAGATGAGGTGTTCCATAAGACCATCTGGATGCAATTCTGGATGGTGATATCATATTACAATATTTCTAATGAACCGCTACTCATGGACTATCATGAGTGAAGCTAAAGGGGATTTTGCCTGTCCTTGCTGATCTTAGAGCTGAATCAGTTGAGATCATTTGCTTTTCAAAATTAGGGAACGTGGTTCACCTGTTGCACTGTCTCTGGAAACCTGTTCCTCAGGACTCCCCTAATGCTTATGTTCCCCTTCCCCCTTAAGTTTACTAGTGGAACTCAGGAGTCCTTACCACACCCAGTTCCCAGTCGTTGGGGTGGTGGACAGAAGATTCTCCATCAGAGTGTTGAGTTTTCTCCACTCTCAGAGAAGAGTACAAAATGGGAGACTCTCCTACCTGTATCCCTGGAAGTTTTTTCCCAGATGTTGGTAGGAGCATTGACCTGTTTGATCTCTGTCCTCACTGGACCCTCTGTCTTTCAGTGTTGGATTCTAGCTATTAGTGTTGGCAGAGGTGAGGGCCGGCGTAAAGTTTTGCAAATTAGATATTGCTGAGGGCAGTGGAGTGGGGTATATAAAGACTGGAGCAAGTGAACACAACATTAGATGGCAAAGATGAAGATCGAGAAATAACTATTTGTGTCAGTGGAGGTAAGTATGTTTAGAAATACATTTTCAGTTTAGGAAAATAACTATCAGATTTTAATTAGTGAAAAAAATAGTAGTATCATGCCAAAATTCATGACTTTTATATAAATTTATGAAAACCATATCAAACTCTTATTTAAATTATTTCTTTTTTACTTTTTAATTTATTCACCACATTATGACTATATCACAAATTATTCGATATTTCACACATACCTGAATTCATTTTTCTAATTACATCATATAACCTAAAAATTGTGGTTTAAATGCCAAAAGAAGATGAAGTTCCAAAAATCAATAGGCCTAAGATTTATAATGAAAAGTCTATCACCAAAAAATTTATTTCAAGTACCATCATTAGAAGACTAGTAGTATTACATTTATCAAAAAAAAGTAATAATAAAACTGAAAAATGTCATGAAAACCTAATAAAATTATAATTATGGTCAGTAATTTGATGTTTTTGAAACTCGCTAAGAACTTAAATGTCTACCACAAGCCAAGTACGTGCATAAACTAGAACGTAAAATGATTTTAAAAAGTGGAATTCAAACTAGCCCTCGTGAACATTTGAAGTATTACATACAGACTTAAGACAACAATATTAGGTCATAGTTTTGTTGCTAAGCAAAACAGACAGATGGAGCATTACCAATAAATAACTGGCTTTTATGTGTATAAGATTAATCAGCTGAGCTTGGCCTGGACTGTGAATCCAAATGCCTATGTGTCTATTCAATTTCTGCAAATATGTCTACACCTTTGTTCCAAAGATGCACTTTACAAGTGATGTTCATTGATGTAGTTAGTCAGACAAGAGTTGGTGGTTGGTGCTCTTGACTTGCTTCCTTCCCTATTGTCTGTCAGGTCAAAATTAAGAATGTCAGATTGCAGTTAGTCAGTTTGTAGCTTTGCACAAAAATTCTAAAACAAACAATTATATAATTAATAAAAAACAATTATTTTTTAAGATTAGGATGTTACAAGATGTTTAAGGAAAACCTTGTATTGATGTTCTTTAGGCAAAGCAGGAGTTAGCAGAAGTTTCTGGCAGAAAAAAACAAACTAAATCGTCTAAAGGACTCAAGTATGTAAAATTTTTAAATACAGTATTTTGTAAAATAACAAAAAGCATGTTTGCATGTAACATAAATGGTTTTATTTCTGTTGAGGATGGAAATGTTGATTTAAGGATTATTTTCTGTTCCACTATTAGCTTTACTGTTTAATGTAGAAACAAAAATAGTCAGACATCTAGGTTTGTTTCAGTGATTATTAAATATTTGTATATCTGATGTGTGTGTGTGTGTGTATATATATACACACACACACACACACATTGTTGTCTGTTGACAATCCTGGATCAATTTATTTTGTAAGTTTATAAACTTAAGATATGATTTTGATTTTATCATGTGGAACCCACTCTGAGACTAATAAAGTTTAGAGATGGCTTGAATGGGTTACAAACAGAAATTTTATTTACAAGTTTAGCACAATAACAAACATACAACCTTTTGACAAGTTTTGTTTTTACATCAAGTTTAAGTAGTTTTACAAAGGCATAGGAACTATAGAGAATTGTGAAACAAAGTGATCACATGACCACAGAAATCTTAAGGACTTTGTAAATATATCTTGGTACCTCAGGTTTAGTGTAGAGCTATGATGTTCAATCAAGATGGTTTTGTAAAGATATCTTGGTACCTCAGGTTTAGTGTAGAGCTATGATGTTCAATCCAGATGGTTTTGTAAAGATATCTTGGTACCTCAGGTTTAGTGTAGAGCTATGATGTTCAATCAAGATGGTTTTGTAAAGATATCTTGGTACCTCAGGTTTAGTGTAGAGCTATGATGTTCAATCAAGATGGTTTTGTAAAGATATCTTGGCACCTCAGGTTTAGTGTAGAGCTATGATGTTCAATCGAGATGGTTCCTTGTATTTTATTTTTGTTGTTGTTTTGGTCTTTGATCAAAGTTAGTTTTTTTTGTTTTTACTATGGTTTTTTGAGTTGCAATGATTGTAATGTGGGAGAGGTTTTATTATGTTCAGTTATTCTATTGTCAAATTTTCTTCCAGTTGTTCTGATGTAGAATTCTGGACATTTATTGCCTATTATTTTACAATAATATAATTTAGGAAAATGGATGTCTATCTGTGGGGGGTTCCAGTTAGCTGAGCCATTTTTTTCCCATGAACAGCTCAATTTAGCTATGAAAGAAATGGTTATTTGATCACTTAAAAATTTGTCACTGAAGATGCAAATATTGAAAATGTTTACTTTTCTGACATGAATTTAATAGCTCTTAGTTTTAGACTGTAGCTTGATATACCAAAACTATATTTTGTCCACTTGTGACATGTTCTACTAGCAAGGTAACATAATTACAGAGAACAAATGCTTGTCTGTCCATTATGTATAAATATAAAAAAGAGAAAAAGAAATTTGCAAAAAACACTATATATAAATATAAGGCCTGCTGAGAACAACTCTTATGAATCAATGTTAATATTGTTATGTATCTGCTTGTTTGTTTGTTTCCAGTAGAAATTCTTTCTGATGATCTTCAGTGATAAAAGTCCTTTCTTGATTAAATCAGTTTATTCTTCCTCGATACAAACTTTTAGTATACAGTAGTTCCACAATCAGTATGTTCCTCGTCACTTTAAACTTAACACATTTTATAATACACATTATAAATCATAGCGATTCACTAGCTCGAAACTAACACGGAGCTCAAAATAACTACTGCTCTCTCTTCATTTATATCCCCGCTAGCTTTCACTGCCAGGCTTATATACTAATGAAGAGGGCATTTCGAACACACTCGGAATTCCCTGATCATTTGAGAAACTCATCACGCACGTCATGTGACTTCCGCTGTCGTAACAATATCTATATGTATGTATGTATTGTTAAAATTTAACAAAAAATCTTTTGCTACTGTTGCATCAAAATGATTTTTTAAAAGCCAGTTTCAGAATATAGTTTGTAATTTTATTAAAAAATATATTTTTATTTTAAAAGAAAATGGACTTGTAGTGAGCATGTTTTTATTTGACTTTTGAATAGGCTTGTGTAATTTTCTAAATTTTTCTTTTCAAACTGAATGTTTTGTTGGGTTCTGAGAATTCTGTTAAGAAGTGCAAAATACATGAATGAGTAATTCAAACTTTTGAAGGATGGTTATTATAAAGTCATTCTGCTATTAACATAAACAGGAATAACTAATTAAATCTTTGAATGTGGGATAAGTACTACTCTTGGTATCAACACTGCAGGAGAAGGTTTTACTTTCAAAAGAACTTTTAGAAAGAGTGTGTCGTAGTGGCCAAAAATTTGATTTTGGATGGCTAGATAAAAATGTGAATTGAGTGAAATACTACAACTCTATATTTTGTAAAATTTTGACACATTCTACTAGTTTTATTCATAATTTCTAAACATTATATAGAACCACAAATACTAGTGTAATTTATAAAACAAGATTGTCTAGAATTTGTACATTTGATTAAAATGTGTTACTTATATCATGTTCACACTGTAGTGGCAATTTTTATTTATTTTCAACATATTTATTGCTTCAACTTGTATTCTGTTTGATAAAGTGAGCAATTCATCATATAAAAAAATTTATTAGTATGGCAAAGTACAAATTTCATATTTTGGACACGTTATATGGACTTTGAATAAATATAACTTACTCCAACAATACAAAAGTTTTATCTACTTAACCCTATCGCAATGGGCATCCTTTACTGTACAAGTCACGGTGTTTTAGTGACTTGCATTCAAAATTTTATTAATCTACTTTTTGTTTGTTATACCAGTTAGTATAGTATAAAATCTTAGCTAATAATCCATTTTTTAATAGTATATAAGTTTTAAGTTCTTAATCTTATAAGGCAATATTTTAAAAAATCCTGAATTTCCTCTAGTGTAACACATTTTCTCTTGGCATTTCCTCTTCTTTATTTTATCTACCACCTCTCCAATAAGTACAAAATTAAACTTATCAATTACTCACTATAAAATCGTCATTCCACAAACAAACCAAAATTTTTATATCCTTCAAGTTTGTTTGGTTACCGAGCTATCAGATAGAAAATCAGACCCCTCTTGCCACACCCACCTGTTACCTTCTCTCTTTCAGGATTTGTTAATAGTTCTCTCTTATGTTTAATTCCATATTATCTATAACCAATAAAAAGCCAAGGTTGTCATCTAGCAAATGACATGTTGTATTACATTTTTTTGTGAAGGAAGAAGGTTTCAAGGTCAGCCAAACTGACCAATGTTGTATAGAGTTAGGGTAGAAAAAAATTAAATATAAAGTTTTACAAAAAACAAACATTTGAAATGTATTTAGGAGGTTTTGGAGATTACACAAATCAAATCTGAGATTTTTGAGATGTAGAGAACTAATTTTAATCTTAACATGAAACTTACTTTGCACACAGACACTTCAAACAAATACTTGATATAGTCATGGACATATCTTTTTGTAATTTATTTAAAATACTTCACAAAAAAAAAAAGGTGATTTTATGTATGTGAAAGACTTAATGTTTTCTGAAAGTCTGTCAAATTTTATGAAGATATACACACAATATTAAAAGTTAATAATATCAAATCTATAAAGACTATATGAGTACAAAAAGTAAGCTAAATAATTAATTTAGTTTTGAAAATCTTTTCAGAGACATACAAAGGTCAACAATCCCAGGATCGAGATTTATGCCATTTGGTGTTACAGTATTTAATAGTTTCTATACCTATCAGTTTAATGCTTTCAAGAGAGTGTCCAGCCATATTAAAGTCTTTTGTGACTGTTAGTTCTTTGTTTGTTTTGATTGTTGATTTGTGGTTAGTAAAACATTCCCTATAGTCGTATTGGTTTGACCTGCATATTGGAAGTTACATTTTTGGCATTCGATTAAGTAAATCACGTTTTTTGTAGAGCAGGTTATGATTATAGTGATTTTTAAACTGTTTTTGGTTGTCTTTATCAGAAAATTTATCCGTTTCTATGAACTAATCGAAAGCACTCAGTATTCTTACAGGTATCTTTAATTTAGCGAAATGTGTAAAGTGGTAGACTAATGAAATCAATTTTAGTGAAAGGATGAGATAACTGAAGAGAAAAACAACTTTGCATCGTATTCTTTGGTGAATCTTATACCTTTAACTTCTCAACTTAGATTGACAGCAGTGAAAGAACCCGTTCCTTTACGACCTCGAAGTCTGCGTCTTCAGAAGCGAGATCCAGAAGGATTAATCATTTCTGAACCTTCAGTTCCACGATTTGTGGATTCTATTGTACAAAATGTAAGATTTTTAAATGATAAAACCAGTGTTTATATAGTCATTAAATATTAACCATTAAACAAAAGAAGAAGAATATTGGACATCTAAAATATGATTGTTTACACCATGATAATTTTTTTGTTTTGAAAGCTTTTCTTCATGGGCCTAGGATCATCATAAGCTAAAATATCAGTTTATAGGTGTTACAGTGTTTATATAACCATTAAATATCAACCTTTAAACATAGGAAAATAATATCAAACACTTAATTGTGTTTGCACCATGTTAAAAATGTTTTTTTATTTCAAATGTTTTTTTTAAAGCTTTCAGTCATGTTCTGAGGACCACCATCAAGGAAACAGTATAGGTTTCTAGTTGTTACAATATTTATATTTCATACATTTCATAAAATTTTGAAGGGACAAAAGGGAGCTTATTAGCCTATCAAGGATGTCCTTTCCAGTTCCCAAATATAACCACCCTTGCTACTAATGTATTCATCCAATCTTTTCTTGAACTCAATTAAATTTTCTGCCTCCACCATCCTTTAAGGCAGCTCATTCCGAAAGCCAACCACCCTATTTGAAAAGTAACACTGTCTAAACTGTAGGTGACTCCTATGCTGCCAAAATTTGAATTTATGTCCTCTTTTTCTATTTGTTTTCACTGTTAAACACAAAAAGGTTTGGATCTATGTTATCAATACCCTTAATAATCTTCAACACTTCAATCAAATCTCCTCTGACCCTTCTCCTCTACAGAGAAAACAAGTTCAAAGGTTTTAGTCTTTCCTCATAGGACAATCCCACCATCCCAAGTATCATCCCAGTTGCTCTTCTCTGAACCATTTCCAACAATTGAACATCCTTCTTGATGAAGGGAACCTAAAAATGTACTCTAAATAATCCTTACAAGTGATCTATATAATGAAACAATAATATCCATTGTCTTATATTCAGTATTTCTACAGATGCTACCTAAAAGCCTATTAGCCCTATTGCTAGCTACAATATACTGTGTTTGATTTATTACATGAGCAATATTTTAGCAAATATAAAAGATGAGATTTTCTTATTTTATAATCTAGCTTGTCAATATTGGTAATTTGAGTTTCTAATTCCTACGAAACTATAGACTTAGTATTTTTACTTCACAAACATCTAATTTGAACCAGTGCTGTATTCAACATACCACATGACACACAGAAATCAATGTTTATCTGTGTTTTTTAATATTTACTTTTAAGTTAAGAAATTGAATAATGTGTGGTAGTAAAATTTGAATTAAAATCTGTAGTTTAATACCAAACTTGTTGACATAAATTCATGAAGTAGTGGTTCAATAAAAGTTTGAATGCAAGTCAACAAACAAGATGACATGGTATTTGACCCTTGACCCATCTCAAAAGGGTTAAACAAGACTTTCCTTAGTAAAACCATGCTGGCTCTTTGACACTGTATCAAACTGCTTTAAGTAACTCTGCAGTGCATCTTTAATCACACTCTCAAACCTTTTGCAACTACTGATGTAAAACTAACTGGCCATAATTGCCTGGTCAATGTTTATCACCTCCCTTAAATATTGGAATGACATTAACCAACTTCCAGTTCTTCTAATACTCTTCCACTACTTGAAACTCTAGAATAAATGTTGTCTATCAATTTTAAGGTTTCCCAACTTTTATCTTACAATTTCATAGCTTAAAAAGATATCTTTTACATCAATATTTTCCCCATACATTAATTGTTCTTATTGAGGCAAAATACTTGTATCTTCCTTCATAAAAACTGAAGAGAACATATAATTTAATAAGTTTACTATATCATAATCTTCTGAGATCAGCTCCCCACTATTATTTTTAAGAATCCTAATCCCCATCCTAACATTTTGCTTACCCATCATATACATATTTTATCTGGATCCCGATATTACTACATCACAAGAACTCTAGGTATTAGTCTTAATATATCTTGTATGATAAAAAGTTAAATTCTTTTTGTTCTGCTTGGTATCCTGATTTTTTTAAAAGAAATTAATGAATAATCTTATATGCTGAATCACTGTGTAAGATGTTTTATTCCACAGCAGGTGAATTCATGATGAACAGAATTATTATAAAGAATTCAACATACTTTGAGTATAAACAGTCATTTATTACTAGAGGAATTTATGATTTTTTGAATATGTAAAGAATTCACTTCAATTTATAGCATGCAGGCATGTCTAGATGTTAACATTTAATATATAAATAATACACTTGTTTCAAAAGTTGCAAAGGCTTTCAACCTTGCTGTTAATTAGAATTTGACATTTTGTTAAATAGATTTCTTAATAATGAATGGAAGTTCATTATCACAGTTCAACTTATTAAAATTTTTGTTTTTATATTACCAATTTTAAAATTCCTTTTAGGTCCAAAAATCTCATGAAACATTAGATTTCAAAGATGTTTGCAAAAACAGTGATGAAAATGGGCTTGAAGAATTCATGTTTGATATGAAGAATATTTCAAAAGAAAAGGCCGTAAACTTTTCCAACAGAAGTCTGAAAAAGTAAGAGTCAGTTGTTTCACCTTTTTTTTATTCTTATAAAAGCCTCTAATGAATGTTGTTAATGCTTTGAAGAAAACAGGAAAATGGTGCTTGCATGCTGGTTAGTTCTCATTATTGATGGGTGATTTAACTCTCTCAACATGGGTTCAGTCAATTTGACCGACCACGTGACTTCTTTGTACTCATTTAAAGTCTACAGATTTAATGCTTCTAACTTTCAATATAGTGTGTGTATCTTCACATAATTTGGCAGTCTTTCAGTTAATATTATAATTCTTTCACATACAGGGAACGTGCAACTCATGTTACCCTATGGAATTACATTACCCACGAGCTATTCGCGTGCGTGCCTCGTGAACCATTTTATTTTTAGTATTACTTATTTTATCTAATCCATTCTTAAATAACTTAAAATCCATATTTTTAGATTTTAGTTACTTTTATAATAATAAATAAATAAAAAATAAATATGAAAAACAAGAAATTTAGTACTTACAGAGTCTTTTTTCTTGCTCTCGATTGTTGACGACAGTTAAGCCTAATTTTTTATGCTAATGCTAGTAATGCACTTATTACTTTTTATTTAATTAAATAATGCTCCAAACAATATAGACTAATAACATGCAAAAAGTATACAAATTCCCTTACCTCACAAAATTTTTCTAACTATGCAACAAGAGCCATTATGATTTCATTCAAGCTATTCATTAACTTTCCCACAAAAACAAAGCTTGTACTAACAGTGAAATTGACAATTCTTCCTTCAGAAAACAAGGTAATACAATATCTCATTTGATGGATGAAAACCTTGACTTTCTTTTGGTTATAGGTAATATATAATGAAATTTAAGAGAGTACTATCAACAAATTCTGAAAGAAAAGATGTGACAGGTGGGTGTAGCAGGAGGGTTCGAATTTTTTAATCAACCACTCTGTAACCAAATAAAATTGAGGACTATAAAAATTATGGTTTGTCTGAACAATAACAATTTTACAGAGAGTAACTTGTGTTTAATTTCTTACTTTTTCAAGAGGTGTGGATAAAACAGGGATGGTGACATGCTAAGAGAAAATGTCACACTAGTGGAAATTTAGGATTTTTTTAAAATATTGCCTTCTAGAATAAAGAACTTTAAACTTATATACCATTAAAATATGAATTATTAGCTAAGATTGTATGTTATTCTAATTGCTATAGCATAAACAAAAAGTAGTTTAATAAAATTTTGAATGTATGATACTAACACCTTGTATCATGCACAGTAAAGGATACCTGGGGTGATAGGGTGAACACTTTCAGCATTGGCTCGGTCCCAGGGACTAACCTCGTAACCATTTTGTGTTATAGTTTTCATTCCATAACTTTTAAACTAGTAAGCATACGTTCACGATATTTGGCAGATTATCAGTAAACATTACAATGCTTTCATACACAGAATATCAGATTTTTTTTTATTAAGTCTTAAAGTTTGTTAAGTAATGTTTTTCTCATGCCTTTTTTCTTTTCACACGTTGCCTATCAAACATGCAAAGTAATTTTCATTTTAAGATTTAAAAATACTTTTATTAATCAGAAAATTTTCAAATTTCACATGCAAAATCTTTATAATGTCTGGATAGTTATGAAATGTTACTTAAGAAAAAAAACTATATTTTATGTGTTATTTTCAGTAATTAATCTCTGTACGGATTCGATAGATTTTAACGATATCTTAACCACCATAAAAAATTAGGAAATAAACATAAATTATGCCTCTTTCATTCTAGAATGAACACAAATTATAACACAAAAACATAAATGTTTAGACAAAATAGCTTAAATCTCATAACATTATACATTTATATATATTTATTATTTTTATTATATTGTCCTTTTACCCATGCCTGGCTAACAATACAGAAATTACAATGACAAGACTCACGTGCACTCATGTTACCATATCAAATAACATAAAACTGACCGTTGGTCTGTACAAAGTGACCTGTCTTGGCTGTGCTTTAGTAGACTAGCATTTTGTAAAATAGTCACATTTTAATTACTATGCGTTATATATGTATATAGATTTTTGCTAGTTTGAAATAAGTTCTTAAACATATTTTCCCTAAAACATAGAACAGTAAATAAAGAAGTAAAGCAAACAGTTTTGTCTTCTAGTTACAACCTTTGTACTCGGTTGCTGCTTGATGTAGGCTGCTAAGCCTTCAAACATTTTGCACGTGGAGGATATGAAACAGTATATTTTTTTAGGTTTTATATATATATATATATACATTTGAATAACTAAAAAATCATAAATTACTACATCAATACCATAGAATGCCACTATAATTTATCAAACTTAGTAACTAAGATGTATTTTAGTCTAAAAAAATATGAAATTTCGAGCAGACTAAAGACACCCTACCTCCTTGAAATATTGTTTTAAAAGAAAGAAATGGCATCCAAGCCCGTTAAAATGGCTGAGAAAGCCACTAGGGGGACATTTTGAGCTTCTGATTGTTTTTCATGTCATATATAGAAGTAAGTGTATATAAGGGAGCATTTCCAAAAATGGAAAGAGGTGGGTGGGATGTCACTGTGTTTGATTTATTTATTACATGAACAATATCTTAGCAAATAGAAAATGTAAGATGTTCTTATTTTATATTCTAGCTTTTCAATATCTGTAATTTGAGTTTCTAATTTGTAGACTTAAACTGTAGACTTATTTTGACATCACAAATATCTAATTTCAACCAGTGCTGCATTCAATATATTATGTGACACAAAAAAATCGATGTTTATCTGTTTTTTTAATATTTACTTTTAATTTAAGAAACTGAGTAATATATGGTAGTAAAATTTGAAATATAATCTACAGTTTGATACCAAACTTACTGACATAAATTCATGAAATAGTAGTAGAATAAAATTTTGAATGCAAGTCAATAAACAAAATGACATGGCCTTTCACCTATGACCCATCTTGAAAGGGTTAAAAATACTATTCTTCATTCCAAAAATCTCAAATTTCATTTGTATAATCTCTAGAACCTCCTAAATACATTTTAGACATTTGTTTTCAGTAAAACTTTATATCTTATCAGTTGTTTAATGATATACTTGATTCTTTAGCCTGTAGACAAATACTCAAAGTATAATGAAAAGACAAGTTGTAAAATTAGAAATAAAATGAACAGTTGCGCCCCTTTTTCATTATTATTGGTCATAAAGTTTCAAAGTACTTCTCTTAAGAGTTTGAACTGCTAAACATTTCACATTTATTTTCTGTGTTTATTTTACTGTCAATGAATAAAGTAGAACCCTGCTGAAAATAAAGCAATAAATCGCCTCTTGTGTCAGTAGACTGTTTACATGACACCACTGTAATATGATACCCTTGAAAGCAACAAAGCACACACAAAAATGTAGCCAACTTGACCCTTGCTATTGGTTATAAACAGACTCTTAAGAAAAGTAGGTGGAAATAAACAAGAGATTTGGGAAAAATGGAGTAGGAGGAGGTGGCACTATAGTTGATTTGTTAGATACATTGATTTTTCAGCAAATCAAAGCGGTGGGAGGTTTTAAATTTATATTCTAGTTTCCCAGTATCTAAAATCCATGTTTCTAATTCGTTAACCACTTGTAGATGTATATAGTAGGAATAAAAGAAAATAAATAAACTGGACAACAAGACATGGGGAGGTGCTATATGACACAAACAAATTGATTTTTTGCTTTATTTTATTTATATTTTCTTTTGAATTAAGAAGTTAAAACATACATAGTTTATATTTCAAATTTTAATATTATGTTTTTATGCCAATTTCATTGATATATAGTAATAATATAGTGACTTAATAAAGCTTTGAAAGTAAATCGCTAAAAGACCATGATATGCACACTTGGACCTACCCATTGTGAAAGGGTTAAATAAAACATTATTGCCCTTATAGGTGATAGTAAAATATGTTTTAATTATTTAATTATCAGTTTATTTGATTTAGAGAACATCAGTGGAGAATTACTGCATATTTGAAGAGTAAACATAATTGCAATCACGAGGTGGTGTTTAGTTGACATTAATGATTCATTTGCTAAGTAGTAAATGGCAAATTATTCCTTTAGACCAGAAATATGTTATGATTGCAAAATGCACAAATGTTAATCTTCAGAAGTCTGTCATATCAAACCAAGGGTAATTCAAAAATTACTTTAAAAATAAAAAAACAGAAACCCCTCCCCCCTCATTTGTTTGTACAGGAGTTGGAGGTGGCACATACTGATTGTTTACCAAATATCATTAATCATCCAGCTCTAGTCCGCATTATGTTTTACAACACTGATATAAATACTGGTACAAATATAGAAATATGACATTAGTTCATTGATTCATACAAAGTAATTTACAATAAATATTTATCATCTGAAGTTACGTACCACAGCAAGTATATATAATTCTCTTTTTCTACTAACATTCTCTTCTAAGAATAATAGCGAATGCACAGGTGACCTGATTATTTATCATAATATGGGAATTTCTTATGAAGAGAGAAACAAGGTGTCAAAGATACACATATATTTTTAAAATTTACATAATAGTAATAGCTCAGTAATATATTTTCAGTAACTTTATAGATGAAATAGTTTCTTTACAGATTTGTTTAAAGATACTTTCAGAAATACTACCATGTGGCAGCTGTAATCATTGTTTTCATATCTCATTGTAAGAAACTAAAAAGGGAACATTTTCTAAAAAAGTTCTCTTTTTTTTCTGGGAAGTACTGCATGGGAAAAGTGTTTGTATTGTGTTCTTTAGTCATATGTAACTCATTGCATCAAAATGATTCAATTTGCAGACCTCAAAATTTTCATAAATGTTACTGACATAAACTGTAATGTTTTTATGTATTAAAAGTGCTACCCTTTACTGAAAAAAAGTTTTTTAAGAACTCCAGTTTTTTGTACTACATTTAAAAACTACATCAGTAAAAATATAATCAAACCTTCACATACAGTCTTAGTGAAAGTGGTGTTCCTGTCGTGAGGAGAGTAGTTTTATCTAAAATTGTGTTCTGTTATAAATAAATGGTTGTTTTACATACCATAGTTATTTTTTGAATTGTCTGAATCTTGAATACCCAAAGTGTGAAATTTTTTATGAATATTTTTTTGTGGTGTCATTCAGTAGATGGCACCACATTTCATAAGCCTCTATCACCACCACTGTGTTTGAGATCTTGTTGTATTTAAGCATAACAGATGTCACCATTTTATATTTTTTTTGGTCACATAGATAGATGGATGGATAGATATGTAGACACCACACCATTTCTCTATTATAGTAAGATGTATTTAAGTTTCCTCCTGTAAAAATTGAGTAGGCTTGAATACCATGATTTTATGATTACTAGTGTATTGCTAATTTTTAATTGATGCTTCTCAATTGTAGCTATGCAGAACATTTTGAGGTAACTTGATTGTTGGAATATGCTGTTTTTGTATCACTGCTAGAAGTTTATAAGAGTTATTTGCAGTTACTTTTCATTATGCTCTAGATATGTAAAGAAGTTTAGCAAGATGAAGATAAATTCAGATCAAGTAGCAAAAGTAACTCCTGACAGAATATTTTCTGTTGCCATACATCCTACAACAACAAAAACCCTTGTAATTGCAGGTAGTAAGTGGGGTCACATTGGCTTCTGGGATTTGGTAAGTGTCATATTTATGAATTTTACAAAGCAAATGAATAAATTTGTTTAGTTGTCATAATCAAAGGATCTTTAAATGTATTTAAATTGATATGTTTTATATAAAGTTTAATAGGAACCACAGGTAAAACGTGAATAATCTTTATTAGAATTAATCTTTCGTAGTTACAGATAGAGATTGGAGATACTAATTTTTAATGCAAGTTTACATCTTTGCCAAATGAGATATATGTGTGTGTGTGTGTTAGTTGATTGTATATATACATACATACATACATATAATTACCTTTTTAGTAAGTTGGAATATAATATACAATAGTTTACACATTATAATACTTTTTAGTTGCTGGGTTTTTTCTCAAAGAAATATACCTATAGTTTACAGACAATTCCTAAATTATCCTTTTCTCACTTTGTGTATTTAATGCTGAAGAAATGAGATAATATGTGATATCAAAGTACTTAAAATTGGTGCAATGGTTTTAGAATAATAAGTGTTTTTCATTCCAATACCCCCAACAAACATCTGATTGTATTAATAAGAATGAGTGGTTTTATGATGGAGAAGATTATTGGAAACAAAAGGAACTAAAAAATATGTTTCTATTAAATATAGCTTTTCTGTTTATTTTATTGTTTAGACACTTTTAACTCAAATATGTTTTTAACAGATTATACCAAACTTATAGAATTTTATTATTTTGAATAAGACATTTAACTTACTATATGAATTGAATACAAATTTATCGCATTACATTACTATTTTACAAATATTTCTTATAATGAGATGACAGTACTTTAACATTTCTTGTATGTACCACAACTGTAGCTTTAATGTTAAAAAAATTGTTGTAACCTACTTTTAATTTTTTACTCTTGGAAAGCACTTAGAAATTGTAATGTTTTACATGTATAAAATTCTGTTAAGGGAATTGATTACATTTTATTATATTTTGGAAAGCTTAGTTTTGATTAAATGAAATTGTTTTGTTTTTTTAACCCTTGGAAAGCACTTAGAAATTATAATGTTTTACATGAATTAAATTCTGTTAAAGGAATTGATTAAATTTTATTATAATTTGGAAAGCTTAGTTTTGATTAAAGGAAAGTGATTATGTTAAGAATATGGCATGTGATAGCTTTATTAGCACAACTTAAATAATGAACAGTGTTAATTTTCATGTCTCAAATCACTAAAGTGTTTATTAACTATCGTTCAGTTAATATTTTAAACTTTTCCAAAAATACATTTAGTAATTTAGTTTATATGATTTTCTGTCATGAATCTACTAACATAACTGTTGTATAAAATGACATTTAACTAGATAACAAATTGTTTAGCAGAATTTCATATTCCAAGTAATTGTGTGTTATGGTGATTTCATGGATGTTTTATCCTCAACTATAAGATTTTTAATATTTAAATCTAATTCTCAGCTGCAAAGTTCACAGTCAGATGGTTAAAAAGACATATCTCAAAACATAAAGTTAAGATTATTTTTTCTTTGTTTCACTAAGAAATCTCAAACAGGGAATGATGGAGTATTTTTGTTTGAGCCTCATTGCCGTCCTGTAAACTGTATAAAAGTTAGTGGAGATAATCATGAAAAACTTTATTCAAGCAGCTATGATGGAACAATTAGGTGTGGAGATTTAGTGAAGTGTGTATTTGATGAGGTAATTGCAAAACTTTTATGCATATTCCCAGAGCAATGTTTGTAACAATTTTAATGAATTATAAACACTGTTTTTTGTATTTATTTCTAATTGATTCCAAAGTAGGAATTATATCCATGAAAAAATTATGAAAATTTCCTTTATATGGCTACAGACAATTTTTTCAGAAATCTTTATAAACTACTTTTAGTTACTTTTATAAGTAATACTGACTTAAAATTAGCATTTCTGAAAATGTAATTAAATTTTAGACAGAAAAAATAAGATCGGTTGTTTGTCAAATTGAACTATTTCCAGTTCTAAAAAATAAAAGTAGTAATAATGGTAAAAAAAGAGTTAAGGATTGCTTTTAACATCAGTTATTTGTTATGATTTTCCATAAATTATTATCTTTCTTTTTAAAATTTTTAAGATCTAATTAGTGCGAAGGCTTCATTATAAAAATTATTTTTGTTATACTTGTCTAAAGATGAAATTGTTTTTATTTACTTGTGAAGCTATTGACAAGGTGAACTGTTCATATTAGTTTAGTAACTATGTGATAAAATTGAATGTAATTTATTAGTCTGGTCATTTAAAAAATTCAAGTTAAATCTCACATTTTATAGATGAGACAGGCAGTACAGTTATAATATAGAAAACAGGATTAAAGTGACTTGTGTATTATTTTCAACTGTAGTTATTTCTTTCATGTTGTTTTGTTTAGTAAAGTACTCAGTTTTCCTTCAAGTATTTCTAATAATACCAATAGTGTTAAATTATTGTGTTTGAGAAGTCTGCATTGAAATCAAATTGAAATTTGAGTCCTTGATCCTATTATGTTTTAGTCGAAAATTGTAAAACGAGTTATTTGTTGGAACAAAATTGTTTACTACATCCCTTCAGTGTATGTATAATCAAACAGCACCTCCTTTATCATTAACTTTTACAAGGAAACTATGAAAGTTATTATATACCATCTGTTCATTATGATAGGGATTTTACATTAACACACCAGTAGAACATTATTAGAAAAACCGTATATTTGTATTTTTTATTAGGTTTATTACACACCAGAGAAAAAAGATGATGCATGCTTTTATTTTGATTTTTTGTCACCTCAAGTTTTAATTATAACACAAGGTGAAGGAAGGCTCAGTATTGTTGATACTCGAACAGGAAAGTAAGTATATGTTTACTTCTTTTTGATAATTTTAATGAGGTACATAATTTTTAAAATCATTTTAGTAATTTTTTTTTTTTACTGGATTATTAAATATATAGGTTTATCACATGTTCTGACGCTCACAGAATATGGAGTCTTGTTCCAAGTGTAAGGAGCTCAACAACAGAAGCAATGGTAAGCTGGTATCCAACAATCAAACTGGGGCAAGTAACAATATATTTGGAAGAACATTATATAAATTTCAGCAAATAGTGTAGAGGAATTTTTTGTACAGAAAGAGCTGCAGATGTTTGTGAAAATATTTATTTGCAAGAAAACAATCATATTGATGGGCTTTTACTGTTATTCATGCCAGTGACTATAGGTTCCACTTAACTGGACAGCAGCTGTTGGGATCTAGTTAGTGAAATGCTAGTTCTTGGACTTCTTTCCCCAGTCATCATGAAACCATTTACTAATATACTTCTTATTTTGAAGAACTGCTTTCATTATTAAACATTAGATGCATTATGCTGAATATGTTTCTTTCTTTCAAATAATTTTAGCTAAATATGTCAAATCTAATATAAAACCAATATTTTTAAGAACTTCATCAAAAATACTTGAATGTATCATTTCATTACCTTTGGAATAACAAGACTTAAATTACAAAATTTTAGTTAATAACTTGTTCTATCTATCAAAGAAAAAGAATTGCTGCAAGGATTTTGAATCACTCCTCAAAGCATAAGAAAACATGTTAATGTTTTACTTTGAGCAAATTGTTTATGAAGATAAGTTATTCCAAAGTAGTTTCATGTTCCCTGAAGAAAAGAGAATGTGCTCTGTATACCCAAAGTATTTTTTACATTAAGTTTTTTTATATTTCATTTACCTAATTAAACAGATGTTGTGACTTAATGCTTATTATCATTGAGTGCACTGTATATAGTTTAAAAATGCCAAAAGTTGAAATCTATTAATTACTATTAGATTGTATTACAGATTTCTTTTCACCATTGGTAAAATTTAAAATATAATTTATGACTTATAATGAGTTTAAAAAGGACTTAAAATTTCATTAATATTATGTACACATCACTATATTTCTTTGATTTGCTGACCCAAACTGTGCTGATGAGCCTACCCCCCTTGTTGTTTATCTGTATTTGATAGTTTTGTTGTGATAAAAGTTTTGATTATTGAGTAGCCTTGCCAAGTGCAAATACACCAATGAGAAAATGAAAGCACTTAATGTTGGTGTGTTTCCTATAAAATTTTAAAAATTGGTTCTGAAAAGGTACCTTACTTCTGCTCACATACATAGCTATTCTTGTTCAGTGCTTCCCTCTATTTTAAAACATTTTTTCGCATGCCACAAGCCTTTCATTTCCACGCACCCCTCAATTCACATGATTTAACTGTATCTCACATGCAAATTATTGTGCAACAAACCTCCATACACATGTGACTCCCTCATTGCTAATCTATGTAACCATGACTTCTTGTTTGGCAGTGGTCATGTTTGGATGGTTAGTTTGTACTCTTCTCAAATTTTTTTTAATCTTTGTATCGATTTATTCTTATGAAGTGTACTACTTATTTTTCATTAATTCTAATTTTTTACTTATTCTGAAATAGAATTACTTTATCTTTCTACCCAGTTATGGAACGTAGTCATTGATTACAAACTTTTCCATACTTTTTATTTCTTTTTACCAACACAGTTATGTTTGGTTATTCATTTTCAATTATGAATTCCAAAGTTCAAGTTACCACTTTGGAAGTGTTACCTTCTACCAGCACATTTACACATGCTTCTTGTGGGAGACCTTGACTATGGAATTATAGGCAATTATTCGTCGAGAGCTTGATCTTTATTTCAACTAAGCTTTTTCTCGTGATGTTGCTCATTTTCCTCCTGAACAAACCTAGCCTGTTTGGAACGATGAAGCATTTGACAGCCTTTTTCCTCCATCTGAATTTGTTGCGTCTTATACAAAGTTCATATTGCAGATCAACTAAGTCTCATATGGCTTTTTTTGAACATGAATTCACAGGTATGTTCTTTTTTTATGCTTCTCCCTGATCTATAATCCTCTTCCTTACTTGTTGCATGATACTCCTTTCTCTCAGTATTTTGTATTTCCCCTTCCCCTTGATAATGGAGTTCATGCTGAATGTTTTGTATCAGTTATGTGAGCATGCCTCATCCTTTAAGGGCTTTGGATCAATTTGCTTTAGCCTACCATCAGGCTGATTTTCTGTTCCTTGATGCTCAGCACTTAGAATCAATTTTACCCATTTGAGGAAAGGACCCTGATTATCCTGTTCATTTATCCCATCCCCAATTTTCTTGCCTTCTTCTTACCCTCATGTCTATCTTGGTACTTGTCCATCATCCACCTCCTCTCTGAGGCAATTCACCAAGATCCTGAGGGTTTTTCAGAGAATGCATTTGCTCTAATTACATCCATGTTGGCACGTTTGTCGACTTTGACTCTTTGGTACATCTATTGTTTGGATCTTTTGGGGAGAGATGTGGTATTGTCCCAAGTTCATATGCTGCCTACTTATCTTGGGGACTTACGATTGACCCTTTTTCTCCATAAGTCGCTATTTGGAGATCTTCCAGAGACTTTAGAATCCAGAGTGGAATCAGTGAGACAACAATCGGCTATTTCCTCGTTGGCTGATCATTTATCTCACTCTGAATCTTGACTGTCCCTTATTTACCTTTCCCGTCCTTTACCTGTTCCTTCCTCCAGGGGATCTTCCTCTTGTCATTTTATTTGATGCAGAGTGACACTGCCAACAGTATTGGGGATTATCCTGTGGATTCCGGTCCAATGAGAGCTTGTTTATCTGAGTTTGTGTTATGTGTGGCACTTCTATTGGCAGAGGTTTATCACATGATAGTTGCCATGTGAGAATCAGTTCAACCATGAATCATTTGGGATGCATGGGAATAAAAGACTTGTGGCATGTGAAATTGTTTTTGCAAATAGAGGGCAGCACTAAATAAGAATGGCTGTGTATGTGAGTGGAAGGAAGTACCTGTTTGAAATACATTTTCAGCGTAGGAAAATTATAACTTTTATTTCTAATATGGATGTTGTAAAACCATTTTCTTTATATTAGTTCTACATGTGTCTCACATTCTAATCAAGCCTGTAGATAACAGTATTTGCCTTTTTTCATTGTTCCAAAGTTACTGGAGTTACATAAGAAATAACTATATTGTTCCTGTAAATGTATTTAGTGAAGTAAAGTAAATTAAAATTGTGTAGTTATGGGAGCTCAAGTTTGAAGTACACAGATCAAAATTTGAAAAAAAGAACAATTAAGAAAGCAGTTAAATTTAATTTCATATCTTTTATAAAATAAAGCAAACAAATAAAATATCTTGTGGAGAAATTCATTTTTGGGCATGAAGAAGTGTATTTTTTTATATTAATGTGTGTGAAATTGGACATGGCTGGTGAAGACTTGAGGAAGAACTTGTTTTTACTGAGAGTGAAGTTCAAAGAGTTTAGTTATTTGTTTGCATCTAGAAATGATCAATAAAATTATATTCATAAGTTGGACATGTGTTATCATAAAAGGGAATTCATAGCTAGGGAAAGAAGAAAAAAAGCCTAAGCATTTTGTAGAAAAAATTTGATATTTCCAAAACATACTTCCACTGACACTACAGCTATTACTCGACACTGTTATGGTTTCTTTTCCTTTGCCTATCTAAGCATTGGTCTGATTTTTTCTTCTTTGCTCCAGTCTTTTACTCCCCAATTAATTGCCCTTGGTGATACCTGTATCATAACACTCCACCTATGTCAATGCACTCTCTCTCTTGGTACTGTATATAAGCACCTCCTTTAGCTAATATTGTCACTTTTTCTTGATAAAGCATTCACTAACAGGTTTCTCTGTAGGATGACTGGTGGAAATACTTTGAATATTTGTGTTACCTATTTGATTTTCATACAAAAATAGAAGAAAAAAATTTTCGTTTGGCAAGCTGATATATGGCATGAATTCTGTGATTAATATATTCAGCATGGATATAAATTAGGTTTCTCCTATCCCACCTCTGATATCTAACATTGCTTAACAATTGGGGGTAGTAGTCACTCTCAGTTGAAGCTGTCTGTAACCTTACCCAAAGTTAGATGGAGACATACATTCAGTCCAGTGGTGTTTCTCCAAGGGCTCTGAGGCAGTATTTGTGGGCAATCCTGGATATTCTGAAGAGAATTTAGATTCACTTTTTCCAGTGCATTCCTTTACTCTGTTGGTTTCTCATGAGACCAGTTTGGATCAGTCACCTCCAGCTTCTTTTCTTCAGTTGGTAAATCGAGTGTGTGATGTTTTGGGTCTTTCCCCAGTTGCTTTTGAGTCTGTGCCTTCCTTGGTGGGGGGGAAAGATCTGAGGGTGAGTACTTAGTTCTCTCTCCATCCCCTGAGATTGCAATTCATGTAGTGAGGTTTACTGCTCAGCTACTTGGAAGGGCAGCTATGTCTTGTCCACCACATTTGTCAGAACAACATGCTTCAGCCTACCACTGCCAGATGGAAGCAAATTTAGAGTCTCTGAGAATAGGCCCACTCCCGAAAATGTATGGTTCCAGAAAGGAGTCTAGACTCTAACTATGGTACTGGGATATTTATCATCCCAACAACTTTTTTCTGAAGCCTCTCATTGATTGCCACACCATTTTGACTCTTACTCACGTCTCCTTCTTCCACTTTGTGAATGGTTCTTTCTCTTTTGGGGATGTGGGTATCACTTGAATCACTCATTCCTTTGGAACGAGCACACATGTAATATCTTCAGTAGTCTCTATGTGACCAATGGATCATAAACAGTGATCCACTGGATTACCCAATCTCCATATTCAAATGAAGATATTCGATCTTGAGTGTTGTTTAGATCAGAACAATAGTATGACAGGTGTTCATCTGCCCCAACTTGTCCAGAGATCCATATTTTCATGGATGCCTCACATGGTCAGGAATTCCAGGGACTATGAACAGATTATAAGGCTTCACTCCATATCAATGTTTTAGAACTTCTTGCTGTTCAAAGTGCAATGTCTCAAAGTCTAGATTTATTAAGGAGAAGTCATCATGCATCATTCTGACAATTCCATGGTCATGTTTTACATTTCCCATAAAGGGGGCATTCAAAAGGAATGGATATATTGGAGTATCACCTAGGGGGGAGAGTCTGAGAAGTTTAGGACTTTTGAAATTTGAAATCTCTCAAAGGTTAGTTCCTGGTACTTGTTGTTGGTTTTTGCCAGTCACTCCCATCCTCCAATTAGCAGTCTGAATGACTCATACATTCTGCCACCATCAAAAACATTTTATCTTTATTTGCATAGCTGACCGTTGGAATCAGGACCTTGAAGTGACCCATGGAATAAACATGTTAATTGCTATTCACTGATGGGCTAGAGATAGTGGACAGTTATTTATAGTCATACTTATGAAAAGATTCATTCAAAGACCTGTAATGAGTTTTATATGGGTCATTATATTTTGAAAGAAAAGATTCTTTACACCTCTTTTCAACTTTTTATACAGTATGGGTGGTTTAGATACATTTTCCATACAGAAATACAAGCATAAATTATCCCAGAAAAATTTTTTTTCTTTCTTTTTTAATCTTATTTAAATGTTTGCTGCACACACACACACACACACACCCTGGTTCTAGCTAGTTTTACTCAGACACAATGATTCATGCTAACAGTGTTGAGGTACTAGTTTAGTAAAAAAAAAAATTAAAAACATGTATGGGTCACATTTCATTATACTTAAAAATGTGCATAAAAGTCTTCAGTATTTCATGTATCCGTGTGATGAGAGGGGATCTTTTTAGAAACTTGTTTAAATGAGCTAACAGGCACATCTGTTGTAAATTTTTTTTTAAATGTATACTTGGTTAAATGATGCTTTGTGTTAAACAGTGTTCCTCAATCTGACTTTCAATTTTAAGTTCAGAGATTAATCTGTATTTCTTTTAGGAAAGAGCCAGACAGGTTGTTCCAGCTATGTTATCGGAGAATGAAAACTGTCAGTGTTCACCCATTAAAAAGGGACTATTTTGTTACAGCCTGCAGTGATGGGTTAGTCACTATCTTACCTTAAAGAAAAAAATATATATTATTAATTATCCAAATTTAGTTAAAAGTGTTATCTTAATTTTAACGACAGTTATCTAACTGAATTTAGTCAGACTAGGTTCTGGTTGTCCTGATTTTAGCTAGCTTCATTCAAACCTACTAATACAGGTTAAAAATGTTGTGTTTGTTTAATAAAAAAAAACTGTGTTTATCATTTTTAATCAGTTTTTTTCTTGTGTGTGTGTGTAAAATAGTTTAATTGAAGAACATTAAGCTAGCTAGTTTAAGCTAAAAGTATGAAGTGAAACAACTTACAAACATGTGGATTGTATATGTTCTGAGAAACATCAGTAAAATTAACTTTTGTGCAGGTTATAGTTAAGACAACTTTTCACATTTTGATTAAACAAATGATCAAAGTAACTGTACAATACTTTTCAAGGGTAAAAAACAGAAAAAAGCCATAAATAATCAATCTGATGAGTGCAGTATTTTCCAGTTTCATTTACTCATTGTTTAGTGTTTATAGTGCACATGTTTATAATTCTTTATGGTTTTTGTGTATTCTATACATTTTGAAAAGTATTTTGATTTCTTTGAGACCAAATCTTTAAAGAAATGAAATGTGTTTTTTCTTATTTGAATCACTTAATTGTTACATTAAAAAACTAAGAATTTCATTCTTCATAATTTGTTAGCTCTAAACTTATCTTTAGAAATTTCCTAAAAATTCAAACATGCTCAAAGCATTTCCAATAATCTTCAAGGAAAAAATGAAGTATTTTTTTTCATCCCGACAGTCCTACTTTTGTTTGCATTTTTTGCATAAAGAAGTTCAGCTACATCTGAATGTATGAAAGCATGTTAGTTTATCTACCTAGTCTATAGGAATGTGTGAAGAAACACTAATTTGGTGAAAATCTATATTTTGTGTAACATTTAGAATGGCTAGAATTTAAGGCTAATGATTAAAAGTCAATTGGCCATGCTGTAATGTAATATTTAAAGGACTATTGTTTCAAGTTGTTATAAATGTTTATATGTGCTATACTGCTTTGCTTCTTTGAAATAATAGTGAAATATTTGTATGTGACCTTCACTACTTCTCACAAAGCTTAGTTTAGTAAAATACTATGCAGAACTTTCGTTGTTATTAATTTGAAATAATAATTCATTAATCAATTTATATGGAATCTAAATAGATTTGAAGGCTAATATAACCAATACAAATCACTAGTATGCTTGATTCAACAAATAAAATGTTTATTTAACTTTTGTTTTTAATTTTCTTTTAGTAAAGCTTCTTTGTGGGACCTAAAGAATATGCAGAGGAAACCACAATCTGTTGCAGATTTACCCCATGAAAAGTCTGTGAGTTCAGCATTTTTTTCTCCGGTGACAGGAAATTACATTCTTACAACTTCTTTTGATAACAAATTGAGGTTTGATTTTATTTTTGTATATTAGTTACTGTTCTTTTTAAATCATATTGGAGATTTAAAATGAGAAATGTTAATGTTTGGATAAATTCATGTCATTTATGTATTTTAAAGTTTCCTAATTTTCAATTTTTTAGTGAACTTTAACTTTTTCATTTATATAGTCTAAATGACACACGTTATACACATACAAAACATTATGAAGCCTACTTTACTTGCATGGGACATCAATGTGGAATAGAATTTTCTCAATGCAGGATATTCTTGGCTTGAAGATTTGTAGAAATCTCTTGACTTACAGTATGCTTGGCTTGAATTGATATTGATCTGAAGAAGATTTGTAGAAATCTCTTGACTTACAGTATGCTTGGCTTGAATCGATATTGATTTGAAGAAGATTTGTAGAAATCTCTTGACTTACAGTATGCTTGGCTTGAATTGATATTGATCTGAAGACAATTTGTAGAAATCTCTTGACTTAACAGTATGCTTGGCTTGAATTGATATTGATCTGAAGAAGAGTTGTGGAATTGTCTCAACTTTGAATATACTTGGATTGAATTGACATGAAATGTGAAAAGTTGTAGAAATAATAAACATATACAGCAATATGTTTAGTACTTTAAACTTGTAAGATCAGGCTAGCTTGAATTAGTTTTTACCACTCCTGAACTGCTTATTTATTTGATTACTTCTCTTTATGTGATCCATGTGTTTACTCTAATTTAAATTTTCATATAGCAATTTTATTTTATGAGGAGGTAATTTTTATTTGTAATACTTTGCAGAGGTAAGGGATACATTTTGTTTAGTGTTTATAGTGCACATGTTTATAATTTTGCTTCAAATACTTAGATTACTCAGATCTTGGAACGGGTTTTGTATGTCTTCATGCACTTCAGTACAGTTTCTAATACAAAAGTAGAACAAATTGGTGACCAGACCTCCAAAACTAAGAGATAAAACAATAGTAAACTCATTTGTATGTGAAAATCTGTTTTACTGGAATAATAGTAAAGGTTTTATTGCTGAAATATTCAACTATTACATGTGTAATAAGCAACCTACTATATTTAAAATAAGTTAGTTATTTGATATATATTACCTTTTATTTGTTTTCTGTGTATGTACATGTAAGAATTCACAGCTTTGTTGAATTGTTTCAAATATACACTAGTTTATTGTGAGGACTTGGGAGTCACTAATTTTACTTCTAAGAAAGATATCAAGTTTTATCTGTAGCAAGAATTTTAATAATTACAATTCATATACTCATTTATAAAGTACTTAGTTTGTTAAGTTTATTAGTCTTTCTACTAGTTTGTAGGTATAGAAACTGAATTGTATATTGATAGTTAGTATTAGAAATAAGTGTGTCAAGACAAAAAGTAACCGTATGTGCACATGTAAAAGTCAAATTGTGTATGCTATGACCTTTTATAGAGTGTGATTTGACATGGTATTATATATTTGATGTCAGAATTATCAACTATTCATTTGACCCTACATTACTGATTTAGTGACAGTTCATGGTAGAGAAGAGCAAATAACAGATACAAAATACACGAATACAGAATAAAACTGTAGATATACATTTCAGAGGTTATACAAATGTAATATCCAAACTGTATGATGAACAAAAGTATTTTTATTCTTTACATGAAGATCATTTTGGATTCTTGACTTATCTGAGTCTGACTGATGTCATCAATTCACAGATGTATTTTGAGTACAAATATCTGTGTAACACACCTAATTTTTTGTGAATAACAGACTTGCACACATTACTTAAAGCTTGCCTCATTTCTAAATCATACACATAGTAAATTTGGAATTATAGTAAACATTTGTTCTCCAATACAGGGTCAGTTCAGTGGACCAACCTTGTGCATATTCAGTTAACTGGTAGACTTCTTCCTGATCAGGAATCATACTTGTAAATGATTTTCTTATCCATATACCTTTCCTATATTTTTTTATCAGTACAGGATTATAATTATATTTACTGTGTATAGAAATAAGTCAAATTGAATTAATTTTTTTTACCAAACTCCAATCTCATTTCACTGTTTCTCATTTTTAGTACGTAGTATTCATCAAAAACTTTAATTGTCACTTTTCTTAAATTAGAGAAGTGCATCAATGTTTAAAAAATAAAAATTAAAGCTGTTTTTTTTTATGTGTTGGACTCTTATAAAAATGGACTTAGCTCATAAATAATTTGCATTGGATAATTGTTGAAAACCCTAAGATGACATACATTCTAGTACTTAGGTACATGGAAAAATGTGAATTTTAATGTTTTATGCAGAACATAAAACAATGTACAATTTTTGTGCTATTTATTGGCTAGCCCAATTCCAGTCACTTTAAAAGGAAAACCATTACCAACTTTAATGAAATCCAGACCTGCTTTTTTAACATTGCATCATATCATATTGTGTGATTTATATATATATTTATTTATTTATTTATTTACCTTGTATGAGTGTTGATTAAAACAGTTGAGAAATTTTCAAAGAGCTTGAGCCTAACCTGAAGGAACAGTGATTTCATTTCTTTGATTTGTATGAGCATCATGCTTCAAAATCCTATGGTTGAAATTATTAGTAAACAGAAAAGGCATCTAACAATGCTGGGCTTAAAACTAATGCTATGAATGGTAGAGCTTGGCAGTTAATTTGATTAATCAACATCACCAATTACCTATGAACAATCACTTAGTGTCACATAAAATGATTGATTAATCAAACATATGATTCATTTGACCAATGTCACAAAAATAATCAACTAATCCAAATTAGTATTTCTGATAATTACTATTTTTGATTATTTCAACTATCCAAGTAATCAAAATATTGCCATTATGATTTTTTTTTTTTATTTTTATTAATTAATTCTCAGTCTTGAGTATTGCAGTCGGCTAGTAGTAGGTTAGGGGTAGTTCGTCCGTTGTAGTATTACGAAAAGG